AATAATAATAACTACAATAAAATTACTATTAAGAATAACAATAATATATTAATAATATTAATATTAACAACAACAATAATAATATTATAATAAAAACTACAATCATAATATTAATAATAAAAAATGATGATAATAATAATAACAACAACCACAATTAAAATATTAATAACAACAATAATATAATAATAACAACAACTACAATGATAAAATTAATAATAATAATAACAACAACCACAATTAAAATATTAATAACAACAATAATATAATAATAACAACAACTACAATTATAATATTAATAACAACAATAATATAATAATAACAACAACAACTACAATTATAATAATAATAATAATATAACAACAACAATAATATTAACAACATTAATAATAATATTAATAAGAACTATAATAATAATAATAATATTAATATTAACAACAACAATAATAATATTATAATAAAAACTACAATCATAATATTAATAATAAAAATGATGATAATAATAATAACAACAACCACAACAACTACAATTAAAATATTAATAATAACAATAACATAATAATAACAACAACAACTACAATTATAATAATGATAATAATATAACAACAACAACAATATTAACAACATTAATAATAATATTAATAAGAACTATAATAATATAGTAATAATAATATAATAATAATAATAATAATAATAAATAGAGTGATTTCTGAAGGATCATGTGACTCTGCAGCTATAAAATCATCTTTAAATTATTCACTGGAATAAATGATTAAATCAAATGATAATCAACTGCTGAACAGATATTTTATACTGCAATAACAGTTCACAGTGTGTTCTGTATTTATAAGAAGCTGATTTAAAAACATTTAAACATCACACTGACCCCAAACTGATGACCAGTAGAGTATAGCACTATACCTGGATATCACACTACTACAGTATAATACCTGCAGGTGAGCTGTGTGTGTACACCGCACTTCTCTGATGTTGACCGGCATGTAATGATGTGCAGCGTATGAGGAGCTTCAGAAGAACTGAGCAGAACACACACACACACACACACGCACACACACACACACATGCACACACACACACGCACGCACGCACGCACGCATGCATGCACGCAGAGGCACAGTGGGCAGCATGATCGCCTCACAGCACTCAGGTCTCAGGTTTGAGCCTCAGCTGGGTCAGTTGGTGTTTCTGTGTGGAGTTTGCATGTTCTCCCCGTGTTGGCGTGGGTTTCCTCCGGGTGCTCCGGTTTCCCCCACAGTCCAAACACATGCGCTATAGGGGAACTGATCAACTACACTGGCCGTAGTGTATGAGTGTGAATGAGTGTGTATGGGTGTTTCCCAGTACTGGGTTGCAGCTGGCAGGGCATCCGCTATGTAACACAGAATAGTTGGCGGTTCATTCTGCTGTGGCGACCCCCTGATGAATAAGGGTCTAAGCTGAGGGAATGAATGAATACTGAAGACAGCTATTTATTCAATGTGTGCAGCTGAATGCTGTCCCTCCAGCACTGCACATATGATGGACATTTCCCTCTGCTGCACTCATCAAAGCTTGTGACTGGTTTATTATTAATATATAATCAGTTTACGCTTGTTCTATTGCTCATTTCACTATGACTATTGTCCTAAAGCAGCTTTACAGAGCGGTGCATGATATTACATTATTACACAGAGCAGAATGTTCAGCATAGGGTGGAGCGTAGATAAACGCTGGCGGTTCATTCCACTGTGGTGACCCCTGCTTAATAAAGGGACTAAGCCGAAAAGAAAGTGCCTGAATGAGTATATAAACACAGTTCAGCTACAGTGTATATGTACACACGTCTGATTCTGAGAGCTGCATGATCTGTGTGCATATCCATTTTCCTGCATGCGTGTGTGTGTGTGTGTGTTGTTTACATTCACCCGTCTGCCATCATCATGCTGCTGTTTCTCCTGTTTTCATGACACTTGTGACGGCAGGTGATCATGTGTTCTGAACAGCACACACACGGGTTCATGTTCAGTGTAAGTGTATGAATCCTCATCTGCTCCAGCATCATGACGCTCAGAGTGACGGCAGATAATGCACTCCGGCGCTGTCAGCTGCTGTCGGGGATGAGCAGAGCGGCGGGCTCCAGCAGTACAGTACAGGGGAGAACGCTACACAGGCGGCGTGTTTACATGGAGACGGCAGGAGCAGGCCTCAAACCCTCACAGCATCAGCATCACTGCGCTTATATAAGAGGACGAGACGCTGCTCTGTCTGGCCTTCACACACACACACACACACACACACACACACAATGCATGCAGCAGCAGCAGGAGGAAGAGGTGGAGGATGGGCTACTTACAGGAGGACTCAGTGCCGAACATGGCTGATCCAGGAGCTGTGGTGGAGCGGCGTCACACTGCAGGGGTCATCAACACACA